TATATATATATATATATATATATATATATATATATTTTTGCTGCCCTTGGTCTGGATTTACTAATGACTTTGGGTAAGCCCCAAAACTAAGGGGAGGGTGTGGCCATCCATCTTGACTTGTCTCCATGGGCCTGTCTCTGTTTTCTTTGTGGAGCTGGAGGGAGAGAGATTAATGTAATACGCGTGCAAACCATTTGTGAAGTAGTCTCACTACTTTCTGACTTGCCTCAATATAGGACTCTCTCGCATTTTGAAAGTCCGTATGGAAATGACGAAGAATAGAGTTGTTGACTGGGCCTTAGCAGAATATATGGCATTTGGATCTTTGCTGAAAGAAGGTATCCATGTTCGACTGAGTGGACAGGATGTGGAAAGGGGCACTTTTAGGTAAGTACCAGCCTGATTGCTGACAAATACTATTGGATGGAAAACTACATAGGAGCATAACTAGGCGTTCATTTTACGTGTTATATTGCTATCTGAAGTGTGGAAGGAATTGTACAATCATTTGCTGTTACACTGTACTTGTAGTGTTTGATGTGCAACAGGTTGAAGGGTGTGGTGGAAGATACAAGTATATGATTATCTTTTGAAAAATAAGTCATAACTTCTTATAAGACAGAAGAATATGAAATTAGCTGTAAATGAGTACTTCTTTTTTAGCAGCAACATATTAAGTTGAGACTTGGGGTTCAGTGAGAGTGGTCAGGCAAGTGGGAAGGTAGATCTGTGAGCAGTGATGTAATATGGTAATTGACTTCATATGCGTCTATCACTTCATCCTGAGTGGGTATGGGGAGAAAGGGGGTGCAAATGATGGAGCCCTGGGGCTTATGTGGAAGGTGGCACAAGGGTGCAGAAGCACCACTGGAAGACTTGTAAGAGTGACCAGGGAAGCCAAGAGAGGAAAGTGATGGTACCAAAGGGAGGACATGTTAGACTAGAAACTTTTCTGCTAGACTGCAAGTAACATGGACTAAATATACATTTCTGGAAGATTTCCTTGCAAGACATTTTTATACTGGTAACAAGCACTTGTAGTGCCTACTTTAAGAGAGAGACAATAGCCTAGACCAGGTCTATTCAACTGGTGGCATGTGAGGTCCCTAAATCTGCCACTACCACTGCCCACACACTGCTGGCATTGCCTGGGGGCTACTTGTGGTCCCCAGCCACACCGAAGTTGGACAGCCCTGGGCTAGTACAACCTTCCATGAATCACTTTCCCGTCCACTCCCCCCATCCACCGCACCACAAATTTAGGAGAGTCTGCATGAAGCTGACTCCCCTATCTCAAGGGAAAGTTGTAAGCTGTCTCTGGCACTGACAAAAGCAGTAAACAGGCCTCAGCCTTCTAGTCGTTTTTCTGTTGGTGCCTTACAAGCAGGGATCCCATCCTGGGTCCTAGGCCACACCTGTTAAAGTACCTTTTTCCAGCATTGATGCTGAGTTTTGATAGGATGAAAAAAAGCACTGCTTAAGAGATGAGCCAAGTTGCCATCACCAGCATCTAGCAAGGTGAGATTTAAGTAATTTGATTTGTGTTTAGGCTCAATAATCTAAGACCAGGCAAAACGAAAAAACCCCACCTTCTGCTGCCCTGGTTTTGACTTTCAAATCAGTACAAGGTAACCACTAATAAAGTGCGCTATATTTGCCTTTGGAACTATCGGTGGTGCAGAGCATCTTTAGAATTGCAGTTCCAGTTCCAACCACCAGGGTACTGACTTCCTCTCAGGTGTAAACAATCTTGGTACTTGTCCATAGCAGAATACCTATTCTACCTGGGATACTGTCATCTTCATAGGGGGGCAGAACACACTTAATAGAATGGGGGTTGTAAACTTCTCTGGGCATATGGACCCTTAGACTCCGTAAGTCCACCCTCCCATTCCTGGGTAAAACAATGCAAGTAAGGAATTCTACAAAGGAGTCCATGAAGGGTGAAAAAGAGAGACTTAGGGCTCATAGAGCCTGTCTTCCCAACTTAGTATGCAGCCTATGATGGAAATGTCCTATATGCTACTCCAGGAGAGCTTGTCTGGCCCAGTGAAGGACTATTGGAAACCCCAAAACACATGTCCTACATTTGCATTTTAGCCACCCTCAGACAAATTGTTGGGATGTATTGGTTCCTTGAAAAGGGATTTGAATGTTTTTATTCTCGTCTTCCAGTGGATTTTCCTTTAGTGACTTAAGGTCAAGAGAAAGCAAAACAGGGGCCTTCTAAGTCCCTGACAGCGTTCCAGCAGATAGGGACCCAAAGAAATTGGATTGCTAAGTTGCTTATTCTACTCATCAACCTGGCTCCATATGAAGGTGGCTTATTTTCCTGCCTCCTCTCTCCAAATACAACTAAGACTAGCACAGGCTGTTTCAGTCTATATTAAGGCTCCCTAAGGAACTCTAGAGAAATTGACATCTTGACAGGACAAACATAGTTGTCTGCTGGGCAGTAGTACAGTTGGACCCCAAGTTACGGAGAGGATACATTTTTGAAAAACACCGTGCAGGTTGAAATCGTGTAACTTGAGGCATTAAGTCAATGGAAAACATGGGAATAGAGACCTGGGATCAAGATTTGATAACAGTATTTCATAATAAAATGATATTTAAACACAAAATAATGGAATTAGTAGCCTTATTAAAACCTTTACTCCCAGCTACATGCTCATACAGAGACAAAGCTTTGGCCCTAATTGGCATGCCATTGACTACTGCTCCTTTTGTATTGGTCATTTAATTGATCCAAAGATTAAAGAGTTTCTCAACCTTATCTAAATGAGGAATTCTAGTCACCAGTGACACTCCTGACCTCACAGGGGTTGTCATTTTCACACAGTCTCTAATTTTCTGCTCACTTTTTTAATGGTACGCACAGTCGATTCACTTAAACTGTATTGGCAAGCAATCAACGCAGCACTATTGCCTTCTCTTAATTTATCAAGGATTTCTATTTTCTGGGCCAGGGTGATAGACTTATGTGCTCTTTTGGGCACAACATAAAGGCTTTCTTTGATGCGATTTTCACAAATATTCAGGGGTTAATGTAACCAAAAATGATGGACAATCTTGGAGGAGATGACAAGTAATGCTAATGCTATGTAAGCAGATTCCAAACTAACAACCGCTCTACCGCAAACAGTGTAAACGTGAAGCAGGGTATCACGTAATTTGAAACGTCATCATGTTATATAAAGTGCGTATACGTGAATGGGTGCAACTCAGAACCGTGTACTTGGGGGTCCAACTGTATTTGGGGTAGTAGGAGTCCTTCTTTAAACAATGATAACTTTCTAATCACCGAGAGTGGAATCCATGTGGGATATTCAGGAAAGGAAGGTTACTTAGAGCAAAATGACTGCATGGCTCTTGGATATGTTGTCCAAATGTATTTCACAACCTTCTTTGCCTAAAGAAGAACTGTTAGGTTACTTTGACCTCCGTCTATATATTTGGCAGTGGGGTGGGATACAAGAACATTAGCTCACAAGTGTTCCCACAGTAGACATAATTGGCCAAAAAGAATCCAATCCTGTGCACCTGAGATGTGGTCCAATGAAGACAGCACCACCGTTACTGTAGGGTAAGTAGCTGCTGTTCCTTCCCGTTTCCTCACCACTCCCCCTCTCCAACCTAACTTTCCTTCTCATATTCTTGCCTCTAGAAAGGATACATTTTTATCTATTTTTATCTAGTATTACTGTTTTTTTGTTTGGCCTTAAGCTGCTGGGCTGTTATGGAGGGAAGGAAAGGTTTTTTGCTACTCTGGTAACCAGTGACATTCTGAAAGACATTTTAAATTGTTCAGATGGTAGTTGCTTAGAGCTGTAAATTTATTTTAACAAAAATGCCAAATGGCAAAGCTCTATAAGTAAATAAGATCTCTTATGCTGAAATGCTAAATGAATATAGGGCATGTGTGAATGACTATGGAATCTTACTGCTTTGCAAATAAAAGTGGGGCCTCCTATCCTCACCTCACTCTCAGTGGAGTAAAATCTTAATGATGTATTTAATTGAACCCTTTGATGCGAAGACCATTATGGGTTGTGGATGAACTAGTGGTCCTATGCTTCATTGTGATTGCCTGCAGAAGGTAATGATGAACATTGGTCTGTTTCAGCTGTTTGTTTCTGCTACACAGCTCTACATTTCTTTCGTGAGCTTCATTTAGTTTTGGACCTTTTGGGCGTTCCTCTCTTTTTCATCTTTAATGCCATTTTAGCAGCCATATATGAGCTCTCAAAACTAAGATCTTTCCAGGGAATTTCTTAGTTCCATTGTTAAGTTAAATTTTTGTCTTGCATGTCCAGGGGTAGTGCACAGCATGTTCATTGTTCACTTACTGCAAGTGAAGTTAGTGTTGACTGATGCACACAGTAATCTACAGGGACAGCATGCAAAAATAAGTGTCATACTGTCACTTCATAATCCTGGTTCCCTAATTTAGTTTATGGAAGAGCTGGTGAGTATTTTTAAGAACAAAAAGGGGTATTTTTAAGAACAAAAAGGCTGGTGAATGGGGGAAGGGAGGTATAAGGAAATAGATAACTCACTCTGTTCAGAGGAACACAAACAATCTCATTGCTTATGAGAAGTAACTCGATTGAGCTAAGATTAGGCAGGGATGGTTAATCATGTTAATCCGAAGTCTGGCAGAAGGCAGGCCAGAGCGATACATTAGAGATTAACTAATTTGAGAGCCATAAGATTTCATAAGCAACAGTTTGCTTCATCAGATGCTATGAATGGACTTGTAGGGAGCAGGAATTCTAAATAGAAGGCAGTAACGTAAAATGTAAATTATTTCACTTTATAGTTTTTCAAAAACCAAGCAATATTTTATAAAAACAAAATAAATGTTATACATTTTTAAATTATACATTTTAACTTTAAATATACCATTAAATAAATGCATTTTTATTTTATAGTTTAAATTTAAAATATAAAAATAGCAGTAAGATTAATGCAGAAGATTCCCAGCAGTCTCATCTTGTTTTTTGTTTTTGTTGTTAATCAGATAAATTGGCCTTTTTGAGAAATAAACACAAATGCTGTAAGATAAATGCTTGTGGAATGGAGCAGTGGAGCCTTCCTTAATCTTAGCTATTTGATTTTATAGCAACCTTTTCTTGCTATATTGTTGGGTTTCTGTGTGCCTGCGGCAATGAGGAGGGCCTACAAAACACTTGCTGGAGTGGAGTGATTGTAAATCTTAATTGCAATTGTTTAGGGGCAGCTGAACAATAAGGGATGAAATTGAAGTGCTACCAGAAACTCGTGCAAACCAAGCTATGTCAAGCTATGGTATTAGGGGAGAACTCTGTAGAAATTTGTAAGGCTTAATGTGTAATATTCAGACTGATTTTCATCAAGGGAATGAAGCAGAAACATTAACTCAGGATGGAGGCACATCTAAGAGACTGTGCAGTTCTAAATAAAGCTTGTCTACTCTTCACTGATTACAGTGTTGCCTCTCAAATTGATGCATAATATATGCATGTAACTCCCATAACTGTTAACAGGAGTGAGTCAAAAATTCCAGTGCATTGATAATGAGAACAAGCTGTTCTGCAAGACTGAAGAATGAGCAGTGTTGTACCCTCTCTTCAATTTTGGATTACTGTAAAAATATGAGGAGGTAAAATTTGAGATAAGTATTTGGGAGGACCTAGAGGTGCAGTACTGCCATAAGGTAAACATCAAAGGGTGGGGGGGTGGATTTTACTAGTCTGTACTCTCAGAGTGTCCTAAAGTAGTACCTGTAGGACAGTCAACAATATTTTTGTGACTGTCTTGTTCATATTAGTAGTCTTTGTGGAAGGGATTAGTCAGATAAATGGAGAAAGCTAACTGGGTGCTGACTGTTCTAACAGCCTTCACAAAGGATCCCCCTCATCTTACAAATTACAGAACTCTTCTCTGAAAGGATGTAATATAATGTTTGTTTCCCCACTAGTATGTAGAGATCACTTCTTCTGGTCTCCTGAATGGGATGGAGTTTAGTGAGTCATTTCCTTTTTCCTGCATGTTCCATGTCACTTAAATTAGCAGTAGGAAGGAAACTAGGTATTGTTACAGGTAAGAATGCATCTTTTCTCTGTCGTCCAGGAGTGGGGAGGAACTCGCTCCGATATGCTGAATTTAAGTGACACTGTCTAGGGTTAGTGTAAGACCTGATCAACACCTGGTTTTTCTGTGTCTGTAGCTCTGAATTGACTCAAGCTATGCATATGGTAACCCAGCTCTGCTAAGAAACTGATCTCCACTTTTTTAAGAAGCTGACTTTATCCTTTGGCTGGAGAGAGGCTGGATGTGGGGTTAGGTTTCTTTAATTTTTGTGGTTTTGAAAATAAGGGGAGGTATCTTAAATACTCTTTTCTTTTGGTTTTTTTTTCTTTCTGTGCTGTTTCTCAAAGACCCTGCCTGTTCCTGATCTTATGCTATTCATTTCTGTATAGATTTCAGAGCTGTTTTGTGCTAAGATATATTATAGCAGAGAGGGAGACAGAAAAATTATCTTTAATTTGTTCAGTACTGGCAGCTATGCAACACATAATAGCTGTTATCAGGATAATAGCCTTCCTTACATTAGTGGCTGTAGAGCTGAACATATTGGTGTGATTCACTCAGTTAGTCTTGCTCAGGGAGTTAATAGATTACAGTAATTACTTCAGTCATCTCTGTTTTGATGTTGTTCCTTGGTGCACCATTCTAATGCTGATTAATGAAGTTCTAGAAAGCTGTAAACAGTGTGAATGGGGTGGTATGGAGAAGGAAGATGCTACCTTCCTAGGTCTTGGTCCTGAAAAATCCTTGATAAGAAAACATCTGGTATAAAAGACTAGCCACAGTTAGTCATCCTAAGGAGGTGACTAATAGTATTCCACAATTACTTCTGAGTTGGGTAATGGCTGCCCTTTATTGAAGGCTATCCTGATTTCTTATTTCACATACTGTTTGACATAGAAGGCATGATGGTTTTTTTACCCTAATCTTTCACCAAAAGGACTCTATTCTTTTAATGATGCTGATATACTTTCACAACTTAATCCTTGAGTGAATTAAAACCAGCCCTGAATAGCCAGTGAAAGACTGTTCAGTGTCACATGGATACTATGTTGTGCTGTACAATTCTGTTTCTTATATTGTCAGGATTCACTATGCCTGATGGGAGAGGTAGTTCCATTAAAATTGTGATAGCTGTAGATGTTTTCAGGGCATAATTTCTAAGGTTTTGACTTCTGTTAATGAAAATGTGTCTGTTATAGACTCAGGTTTAATCTTTAAGAATGTATCAGAACTATAGCCAAATCAATTCTCTCCAACTATTCACAGCCATCGTCATCATGTGCTCCATGATCAAGAAGTTGACAAGAGGACATGCGTTCCTATGAATCACCTCTGGGAGCAGCAAGCCCTGTACACAGTGTGTAACAGCTCCCTTTCAGAATATGGTGTCTTAGGTAAGTCTCACAAAATATCTAGCATGTTTTCATATGCATTAAGATGTCTCAAATGAAACATGGGAGCTTACTGCTAAGTAGGATACTTTTAATCTAATGATTGGTAGAACTTTTAAATTTGCAGGTATACGTCTCATGTTCAGATTCTTGCAATTATCTGAATTTCTTTCTAGTTTGAAAAACTAGTAAACTGGAAAGAACCCTCTCTCCCACTTCCATTCTGGCTGGAAATAAGACAAATGCAGCCTTTCATTTTTACTTTGGCACTTCTGCTTTTACTGTTGATTAGAACAGGGAAGTTGGAAAGTATGAAAATGACTGGAAGGCTGGAAGGTATGAAAATGATATGGAAGCTGATTGGAAGGTATAAAAATGAATTAAAATTAAAATGGCTGACTTTCCTTTTCGCTGAACCCCCCAAAGAAAAGGTTTTGCCAGTAATACTGTGGTGGTCATGTCTTGACCTCTTTGATTAAAATGAGTTTTTAAAACAATACCAGTGTAACCCCAAAGCCAAATCTTGCTATTCTACAACAGACCATGATTTGTTTTTTTACATCTATTTAAAAATCTGTGGAATTGGGGAATTTTTCCTTTTAACATAATGGTTGTGCCTATGTTAATGACTGCTCACATCTGCACAAATACTATGTAGCTCCTCTCTTCCTATACCTCTGTTCCTTTCATCTTAAAACCTGACTGTTTGGGAGAAGGGTAGGAGCTTCATATGAAAACATAAAGCATCAAAGATTATAGAGAAAACATGTAGAGTGGTCTTAAACAAGACTGACTGATAGGGGTAGAATGCCTCTGTCCTAAAAACTGAACACCCCTTAAAATAAATTGTTTCTACATCTCAGAGGTTGGTTCTGTAGAAGGCATACACTTAATAAAAGGTATTTTATCTGGGTTCTGGCACTGAAAATTTTAACTGGGTGCCAGGTAGAGGTATAAATAAAATCAAGGATACCTCAGAATATGGGTATAAAAATCTGTCCTAGCCCTAAGAATAGAATGCTATTACAAATATGTTACATATATTGAGAACACAAATCTTTGTTACAAATAGGACTAATAATAGTGACTCAGATTTTACTCTTGCATGAGACATTTTATGGTCAGCTGGAGGGTGAATGGCTAAACTCAACCCACTGTACTAAGGTTAGCAGAAGGAGGAGATGTAGAGTGCAAAACTGATGCATGCTGGGCACATCTACATGTGCAAATGCTGCAGGGAGGGTTTACTCTAGAGTAAGCCCACCCTGGGCAGGCATCTACATGTGCAGGAATTTGGGAGCAGGTTTGCTGCTCCTGGCACCAGTCTGCTTCTGCTCCCTTTGGCTCTGCACCAACCTGGGGGAGCTGTAGGCCAGGGGCTGGCAGGGAGTAGGGGACCAAGAGACAGCTCTCTTCTGGTGCAGGGGTGAGAGGCTGCTTCCCTGCCTCTGGGAGCCACCTGCTGCTGGCATGGGCTCCAGTGGTGGAGCCAAAGCAGGGACAATATCCCAGTTCTGGCTCCCAGTCCTGGCTCCCTGACTGGGGACAGGGGGTTTGGAAAGATCTGCAGGGGAGGGGCAGGTCCCAACCCTTTGCCCAATCTGCTAGTGGGGCAGCTAGCAGTGAGCCCACAGCTGCTGGGTGGGGATCATGGAGCAGGGGCTGGGAACCATCTCCCAGTCCCCGCTTCGTGATCATGATTGTGGAGCTGGGGTGGGGAACAATTTCTTATAATTGCAGAGCAGGGGCTGGGAGCTGTCTGCTGCCGGGGCAGGGGAGCATTGTCCCCACTTATGCTCAGGTGGCAGCAGGCAGCTCCTGGTCCCGGCTGCCTAGATGACTGGGAGCAAATTTGCTCCTGGTGGACCATGCTTGCTGTACTGTGCAGTAATTATTTGGCAATTAATTTGCTGTTTGCATTTGCAGGTAGCAAATTAACTGCCAAGTAGAGCAAATTACTTTGCAGTAAGGGTCAGCACATCTAGATTTTGATACTTACTACATGGTAATTAGCTCTACTACACAGTTAAGCATCTCAAATAGATGTGCCCACTGTGATTTATCTTGAAGTTTTCTTGGCTTTGAATAAAAATCATGAAGAATCATTTCTTTAGCTAGGTGGGCAGGGTGGGTAGAAGGCAGCCGAGAGCTGGAGCTGGAGCCCCATGTGCTGGGGTAGGAGCCGCCTGGCTGAAGCTTCTTCCCAGCCCAGAGTGGCACAGCAGGAACTGAAGGAGGAACCACCACTGGAGGCAAGGGGAACCAAGCAGCACCCCAGAGGGCTGCAGCCACACTGGGATCAGCCCCGCTGTTAAACTGCGCACTGGCCAGAGCCAGGCCAGTGGGCATGGGCTGGAGTGTGGTGCAGGCTGCCCTGGGTGGGGCTTGGCCCTGTGCAGAGTGCCATGGGGGCAGCTATGGCTCAGATCCAGTCAACTGGCAGGCACCCTGCAATGGTCCAGTTCCAATGAGTTGGTGGGTCACATCCAGCCTACGGGCCATATTTTGCCCACCCCCGCTATATAACCTAGATTAGGGGTTCTCAATCTTTTTAGATTGAAGGCATCCTTAGAAAATTCTAGCTGTTAGCTTTCACTTCAAAAAAATTTTTTTGGTCTACAGAAGAATAATAGAGCAATTCTTCTGATGTAAAGAACTCAGACCACAACAGGTCAGAATGTTTTATGACCCTATGGATTCCTGTTTCAAATCTCTGGGTTTATTTGATAAATCATGTGTAAATGTTTGCACACTTAACAGTGCTAATATTGTATGGCACCCTGTGGCACTCTTAAGGATCTCAGTACACCCTGGTGGAGAATCTCTGACCTAAACATACTCATTCCAGATGTTTCAGCAGGGCCATTTGTGAAGGTAAGCATCATGGTCACCAAAGAGATGTTTTAGCTACTAAACTAAGGCACCCTAAATTGCACCATTTTAACCTAATCTGTTTTAGATAAACTGGTGCAAATATCCATCAATGCTTTTATTTGTTTCACTTAAAGAGGCTGAAATTTGAGTGTGTGTTAGCTTCTGGGTTATATTCCTAGTTACTGACTGGAGTGTGGGGGGATTTCTCTGCAGAGTATTTCAGGTTAGAGGGTTCCTTCTGGGATGTGCTCACTTCTTGAAATACACCAAGGGTGGGAGGGAAGAGTATAATTTTTGGTTTAAGGATTTGCTATGCTGAGAGGCAGATTGAGGAGTGGGTAGAGTCAAAGTTTTTCTTTCCTGATGACTGTACAGTAGGGGTGGGCAAAATGCAGCCTGCAGGCTAGGTGCAGCCCACCAGGCCATTCTGTCCAGCCCACGGGGCCCCTAAAAATGTATAAAATTAATATTTATTTGCCCCTGGCTGCTTGTCATGTGGTCCTCGATGGCTTGCCGAAACTCAGTAAGTGGTCCTCTGCCCGAAATAATTGCCCACCCCTGCTATACACCCTTTTCAATAAAACATATTTGGGGAAGTTGTCCTGAGAAGGAGACCAAGACGAAAAAGGAAGTTAATATTATGAATTTAATTTGACCATGTAAACATGTAAGAACTTGGAAGTATTTGGGGAATTTCCTTAGTTTCCTTGCATTAGAGCTAATTAAGTAAAAATGGATTGAATAGCTCTGCGTGACAGAACTACCGATTATTTCTCTGGCAGGTACAGAAGCAGAGAGCTGACACCTGCTCAGAGCTGTGAGCTCTGCACCAAGAGCCTGTTAAGAGCACCTGGGGTATACCTGCGCCACTGAAATGGTATTCTGACAAAATTGATCTGCCTCAAAGATAACTACCCGTGTCCTGCTTTTATCTTGCAATTCAGGATGTAGTTTGGTTTAGAGTACTGGGTGGAGAGCTAGGTTTTACATTCTAGCTGTTCTGTCCCTAGATAGATCTTGTTAGTTAGCTGCAGGGGAACTATTGCAGCTAGTTGTAGCTAAACAGCAGTTTTTGTGCATTATAAGTTTCATATGCTTTCTGTAGTAAAGCTGTGCTTCCAGAGTTGCTGTGTGAAGTCATATGGACAGAAAGACTAGTTTTCAGCAGTTTTTGTCTAGACTTAGAGGAGGTCAGCAGAAGTGATTTACAGGTCCCTTATATATATATATACATATATATATATATATAGAGAGAGAGAGAGAGAGAGAGAGAGAGAGAGAGAGAGAGAGAGCAAAAAAGGATACTAATATATATATAGAGCAAAAAAGGATACTAATGAACTGTTTTAAAGTTTTTTGGGGGGTTGTTTTGTTTTGTTTTTTTTGCAAACTCCCATCTCTCTTCCAACCTGAATACCTGTTAAAACTAAACCATCTTTCCATCTTGGAGCCTGGGAGTTCTGTAAAAATCATACATTTCATAAAGGAAATGTCTTCTGACATTGAAAATTTAACAATAACATTTAACTTAGCTGAGACTGCTGGACTTTGAGGTTTGAGGGTGGAGTTTGCAAGGTTTATTGGGTGAATAGCAAAAATGGGAAGAAGAGTATTGATTTCAAACCCAGAGCTCCAAATGCATTTTGATTTAGGATCATAGGCTGGAACTAGACTGCTGTCAGTGCTGGCAGGTGACAACAAGCAGCAATGGTCTCAAGTTGCATCAGAGGAAATTTAGGTTAGATATTAAGAAAAACTTTCTTACTAGGAGGGTAGTAAAGCACTGGAACAGAGTACCTAGATAAGTTGTGGAATCTCCATCCTTGGAGGTTTTTAAGACCTGACTAGACAAAGCCTTGACTGGGATGAGATATTTGGGGATGGCCTTGGTTTGAGAAGGGCATTGGATTAGATGACCTCCACAGGTCCCTTCCAACTCTTTTTTTATGATTCTGTGACATAGGGAAGTAGGCTTAGAAGGTACCTCAGGAGGAGGTCATTTTATCCAGCCCCCTGTTCAAGGCAGGATTATCCCTGACTAAACCATCCTGGTCTAACATGATCTTGAAAATTTCCATGGATGGGGATTCCACAACTCTTGTGTGATAGCCTGTTCCAATTCTAAACCA